ACTGACACTTGGATCTCCTACGTTTATTTGTCCATCCTTTCGATTTGTGACGCACATAGCTCTCAGTTGACCTTCATTTCCTACACATTGATCAAGTGTTTGCTCAATCAAAGTGTTCGTAAAACTTGACAGCGATCTTCGGCATCTTTCAACTGCGAATGTTTCTATGGTCACTAAGTCAAGTCTGAGTAAATATTCCTCACACCGAAAAATAGACTCCAAGTGCTCTCACTTCAAAGTTACAAGCTGTAGTTTGAAGTTAGCAAATACTGTCTCCCTACTGACCGTTTTACAATGAAAACAACGCTGGATATCGCAGCTAATCTTGCTCTCCTAGTTTTCTTTCCATTAGTTTTGAAGAGAAGACGGGCGTCCAAAATCCCATCAAAAATTCGGCTAGATTTCCTTGAGAGAAAGATTGCCTCGGGGCAAAATGAAGATCGAAAATCGCTTTCGCCCGCAGTTCATATATATGATTTTCATATATTCACATTCATTTATTCATCACTTCACGGATTTATTACGAACCAACATAATAATCAGCTCCCAGTAGGCTTTTTAGCTCAGTTGGCAGAGCGCTGCACCGGTATCGCAGAAGCCGTGGTTTCAAGGCCCGTACAGGCCTGATCTTTTCAGACCTTATTTTCACAACTACTTAAGTAGTTGTCATTACTGCGAAAATCGCTTTCATATTTATTTCTTAATCATCAGTTAACATCTATGATTTTTATGAATTCACAGCCATTTGAATAAGAATATCTTGCGTTCAACGTTGTTATCCGTGAAAATTTTCTTTTCTCTTTTTGCCGCGGCAATAACTTGAAAAAAATGTTGAAATCGTTGAGAAAAGAAAAAAAAGATGGTAAAAACATGCTAGTTTTCGCCACAGAAAAGTCTGTTCCAAGAGAATGTGAACTCTTCTCTTTTTCTAAGTGGTCTCTATTACCTTTTTATCACTAAGGAGTTGCACAACCCATTGTTACTCAAGCTCTAATAGTACATTGTTTGGAACTGACTTTTTAAAGAGGACACTGAAGAAGTTTTAGGTAGTTGCGTCTATATCTTACCTCAAGCTTTGTTAACTCCTGTTAAGGATGCTCTAGTTAAAATTCTGCGTACAAACCTTCTCTATTTTGTTTCGCTGGTACACTTTTCCTTCAAGTGCACCTGTCTCGTTACCTGTTAAGATTCTAAATGACATACCGTTTGTTTTTTGCTAAGATTTTGCACCTGTATTTCCATGCAAAACAAACATTTACTAAAAGATGGATTTGAAGACAAACTGTTCAAACCAAGATGTCGAAAATTTACGGTCAATGTGTTTCAGTTTCGTAGTGTCATTTTGATGTACTTGCAAACCGGACCAAAGATTCTTAGAATTTACTTCAGGATTCAAAAAAGCTAAGGAGTAAAAAGACCAAAAGTGTTAGAACTTTTCCGCAGGGTGTAAGAAAACTACGGAAATAATTAGCAAGCATTTTCATTGTTTAGATACTCTCCCAGTAATCACCTTTTTCAATAAAAGCTTTGTCACTGTCTAATTAGTGTTTCCTCTTAGTGCATCCTCGTGCTAATTCTTTCAATTCGATTCAATTCAATTTTTAGTTGAACTCACATGAATACAGTGTATTAGAGAAGGTTATAATTATTACAGTTGTGTTACATACATCACTATAAAGAATATAGTACAATAAGACAATGAAAAAAGAAACCAAAATAATTTTCAATTCGTTGTTACTAAGGAAATCTGAAAAATGAAGACGGACAGGAAGAGAAGAATGTTTAAATATTATGTTAATTGTGTGGAGTTTGGGACACCCAAATAGTTCTAAGAACTCATCGAGTGGGTGTCTCAAAGCAAATAATTTAAACAAAAGGAATACAGTGTCAACAACAATTTAAATAAAAAGTATTATTTTTCATACTAACTACAAAGAATTAAAATATATTTACACAAACTATTAAATAATTAATAAAATTAATAACACTATTATAACCGTCAATCATAGAATCTTTATATTTTGACGAAATCTAAAAAAGGGAGTGATTTGTTCAATAGTAGTTGGTAATGAATTCCAGAGTGTGGTACCAGTGTAACGAAGAGAACGAATACGATATTGAGTTGTTTAAACTGGGTTTACAAATAGATTCTCATTCAGTGATTGACGTGTATAATGTGAATGAACAGAAGATATTGGCTTAAAGTAATCAGTAAAACAAGAAGGAGTT